GGGAGACCGTGGCTGTGGGAGAGACGGGCCGACTGTGCCCCCCAGAACCTCCAGGTCACTGACACCGTGGCCGTGAGCACCCAGCGACACGTCCCAGGCGCTGTAGGAGAAAGCAGGCTCTAAATCCCAGCCATTCTCTGACGGGAGACGGAAGAGCAAGGACAGGAGGAGTGGCAGATGTACCTGTCACAGTGACATGTCTGAGTCACAGGGAAACATGGTCACTGTGAGGTGGTGAGGTCACAGGTGGTGAGGTCACAGTGAGGTGGTGAGGTCACCATGAGGTGGTGAGGTCACAGGTGGTGAGGTCACAGTGAGGTGGTGAGGTCACAGGTGTTGAGGTCACAGTGAGGTGGTGAGGTCACCGTGAGGTGGTGAGTTCACAGGTGTTGAGGTCACAGTGAGGTGGTGAGGTCACAGGTGTTGAGGTCACAGGTGTTGAGGTCACAGTGAGGTGGTGAGGTCACAGTGAGGTGGTGAGGTCACAGTGAGGTGTTGAGGTCACAGTGAGGTGGTGAGGTCACAGTGAGGTGATGAGGTCACAGGTGTTGAGGTCACAGGTGTTGAGGTCACAGTGAGGTGGTGAGGTCACAGTGAGGTGGTGAGGTCACAGGTGTTGAGGTCACAGTGAGGTGGTGAGGTCACAGGTGTTGAGGTCACCGAGAGGTGGTGAGTTCACAGGTGGTAAGGTCACAGTGAGGTGGTGAGGTCACAGTGAGGTGGTGAGGTCACCGTGAGGTGGTGAGGACACAGGTGTTTGTGTTCCAGGGAGCTGTTGCGGTCACCGTGGAGACTTGAGGTCATCTTGAGGATTTCCAGGGGCCTGGGGAACCCTCTCCGTGGCTGTCACGCCACCCTTGCTGAGCCTCTAAGGAACGCCTGCCTGCATTTTGCTTGGCCCTTGGAGGCTGTGGCCTTGCGGTGACATCAGGCAGGGTGGCTCCTCCCCTTGTCCATGTGTGCTGTTGAGTGTCGTCGAGTTTGTCAGTGGAGGGCTGTGCTGGGCAAGGGGTAGCTGTCCAGGGAGGTTTCGGGCTGTGGGCACTGACCGTGGGGGCTGCAGATGCTTTCCTTAGTTCTCACTCCTGTCACCTTCTGAGACTGTCTCTACTGTCCTGGGTTTCCTGAGACTGTCTCTACTGTCCTAGGATTCCCGTACTGTGGGATGTTCTGGGATCCTGTGACTGTGGAGTGTTCTAGATCTTCTGTGACTGTGGGATGTCCTAGGATTCCTGTGACTGTGGGATGATCTAGGATTCCTGTGACTGTGGGATGTCCTAGGATTCCTGTGACTGTGGGATGTTCTAGGTCTTCTGTGACTGTGGGATGTCCTAGGATTCCTGTGACTGTGGGATGTCCTAGGATTCCTGTGACTGTGGGATGATCTAGGATTCCTGTGACTGTGGGATGTTCTAGGTTTCCTGTGACTGTGGGATGTCCTAGGATTCCTGTGACTGTGGGATGTCCTAGGTTTCCTGTGACTGTGGGATGTCCTAGGTTTCCTGTGACTGTGGGATGTCCTAGGATTCCTGTGACTGTGGGATGTTCTGGGATTCCTGTGACTATGGGATGTTTTATGTCTTCTGTGACTGTGGAATGTTCTAGGTTTCCTTTGACTGTGGACCACAGGTTTTATTTCCAGCCTCCTGATGTGTGTACCTTGAGGTGTGACAGTGCCACCATATGTGGCACAGTACAGTTGTCAGGCGTTTGAAGCAGCTATGAATTGGGAAATGTCACTGAAGCAGTTAAACGTTCTGAGTGCAGAGCGTTGGGTGCTGGCACACTGGAGACTGCAGAGACATAATGAATTATTATATTGGTTACGGTGATACACCTGCTTCATTTGATCTGTCTCATCGGAAAGTCCCTCACATAATTATAAGATTTTGTTGGCTTCCGAGGGATTGAGCTGCTGTCATATGGGTGTTTGCAAGCAGTTGGCCAAGTTGTGTTTTTATCAGGCAAGGTGGGGTCACTCCAGAGGTGCACCTGCTGTTGTCTGCCCAGCGCTGCTTCAGGCTTGGCCTCCAGACAGAGGTTGTGTCTCACACCTCAAGTCCGGGGTGCCCAGGTCGCCCTCTCGCTGGTCCTGGTCCTGTTCTCCATTCCCCCATGGCCCTTGGCCCAGCACCCAGTGGGTGCAGTGCTGCCAGTGTGTCCGAGGCTGTCTGGATGGCTCCTCTGTGCTCCCTGGTGGTGCTGTTTGTGTCTTTGCTCTGTTCAGTGGAGTGTAGCATGCCGCCATGTCTCAGGTACTTGTGGTCAACCTGTTGTCAGTCATGTCTGGGTGCCATGGTTACTCTGTCGTTGGGTGGTGTGTGGGTGCTGTGATTACCCTGTTGTTAGGTGGTGTGTGGTACACAATCATCTCTGGGTGGGGTTACCCCATCGTTGGGTGGTATGTGGTGCACAGCTGTATCTGGGTGCCATGGGTACCCTGTTGGGTGGTGTGTGGTGCACAATCGTGTCTGGGTGCCATGGTTACCCTGTTGGGTGGTGTGTGGCACACAGTCGTATCTGGGTGCCATGGTTACCCTGTTGTTGGATGGTGTGTGGTGCACAATCGTGTCTGGGTGCCATGGTTACCCTGTTGGGTGGTGTGTGGCACACAGTCGTATCTGGGTGCCATGGTTACCCTGTTGTTGGATGGTGTGTGGTGCACAATCGTGTCTGGGTGCCATGGTTACCCTGTTGGGTGGTGTGTGGTGCACAGCCGTATCTGGGTGCCATGGTTACCCTGTTGTTGGGTGGTGTGTGGTGTACAGCCGTATCTGGGTGCCATGGTTACCCTGTTGTTGGGTGGTATGTGGTGCACAATCATGTCTGGGTGCCATGGGTACCCTGTTGTTGGGTGGTGTGTGGTGCACAGCTGTATCTGGGTGCCATGGTTACCCTGTTGTTGGGTGGTATGTGGTGCACAATCATGTCTGGGTGCCATGGTTACCCTGTTGTTGGGTGGTGTGTGGTGCACAGCCGTATCTGGGTGCCATGGGTACCCTGTTGGGTGGTGTGTGGTGCACAATCGTGTCTGGGTGCCATGGTTACCCCATCGTTGGGTGGTGTGTGGTGCACAGCCGTATCTGGGTGCCATGGTTACCCTGTTGTTGGATGGTGTGGTGCACAATCGTGTCTGGGTGCCATGGTTACCCTGTTGGGTGGTGTGTGGTGCACAGCCGTATCTGGGTGCCATGGTTACCCTGTTGTTGGGTGGTGTGTGGTGCACAATCATGTCTGGGTGCCATGGTTACCCTGTTGTTGGGTGGTGTGTGGTGCACAGCCGTATCTGGGTGCCATGGGTACCCTGTTGGGTGGTGTGTGGTGCACAGCCGTATCTGGGTGCCATGGTTACCCTGTTGTTGGGTGGTGTGTGGTGCACAGCCGTATCTGGGTGCCATGATTACCCTGTTGTTGGGTGATGTGTGGTACACAATCATGTCTGGATGCTGTGGTTACCCCGTTGGGTGGCGTGTTGTGTATAGTCGTATCTGGGTGGGGTTACCCCGTCGTTAGGTGGTGTGTGGTACACAGTCATATCTGGGTGCCATGGTTGCCCTGTTGTTGCATGGTGTGTGGTACGCATTTGTGTCTGGGTGCTGAGGTTTCCCTGTTGTTCAGTGGTCTGTGGTACATGGTTGGGTATCTGGAGACCTGCGGTTGCCCCGTGAGTAGCCGGGCTGGTTGGGACCTGTGGCGCCTGCTCCCTGGGCAGGGAGGAAATGCCCGGCTCTCACCAGGAT